AGACAAAGAAAACCCTGGGTGGTCTGTAGTCATGAAGATGAAACCAACAGATATATATGACACAGGTTGTGATGAATGGGAAGATGATATAGAAAATGAGCCATTCCATGTCACACACCTTGGAGATATGTTCAATAATGCAAATGTAAGACATCAATGGGCTAGAACAGACATTGAGGGAACCATGGTGGATGCTAGTGATGCTGCGGATGCTAGTGGCAATGGATTGAATGACCAATCATAGTTCATGAGGTGCAGTACCTGACTCTTTATTGTGCAAGCTCATTTATTCAATGGTTTGTGTTTCTCCTTTTTCTTTATTGTGTAATTGTACAAGTTCTTCTCATATTTATTGAATTTTTACTATAATGATAATTTATATATGTGAACTTTATTGGGGTGGTCAATGGTATGATTGTAACAATATATGTTATACCTGTATGATATGATATCAAAAATGTATAAAGAAACCACAAGTTAATTGTTACTTGGCCATGCTAGTTCTCTAAACATTCTTAAGTTGATTTATTACTAAGTTCAGTTTTCTTTACGTAGTCCAGCAGCACAAGTTAATTCTTTTTGTACTAATCTGTAACTCTCTCTTAATGGGAAAAAGAAATGCTACTTTGGTATGTGTACTAAGAACTACTAAGTACCTGCTGTATTTTCTATTGCTATGGCACTCATGCCTGCTTTGTTAGTTCATTAATGGCTGACTTGTGCTTCAAGAGTGTGGCATTGTTTTGCATAAATAGAGACTGGCTGACAACATGATAGACCGCTGCACAAGCACATGGATTAATGTTGCATGTTTTCACTAATTTAATCTTTCTATTGAACTTGTGATCCCAAAAAACATTGGTTTAACGCTGCATATTTTCACTAATTCAGTCTTTGACCTTGAAATTTTATGGGGTTAACTTTTAATGAAGTTCCTAATTCATGGCTTGATGCCGCTATAGGAGGTGAATGAGATGTTGGGCAGGTCTTGGCTACTACCATATGGGTCGATTTCTGTTGGAGGTGAGTTGTGCTCGTAATGGATTGAGGATGAATGACTAGGCGTTCTATTGGAATGTTGATGCTTGCTTAGCAACTTTAGCAGTTGTGCTTGTTTACAGTTTTGCAACTAGTGAAATTACTGTGTGCATTTTCTTATTTTTTAAATGGTTCTGTTCTTACATGTCTCAGTTGTTGATGGATGACTTATGCAACATGATACTCGTAACATGAGCTAAGATATAATTGAAAAATGTGAACTACCATATTTCTGATACAAGAGCTATAGACTCTCTAGAGTAATTCTTCAGTTCCATTGCTACCAAATGTTAAAGGGAGTGTTCACTAAAGCTTCCTGCACCTACTGTTGTGCAGCTGCTGTAGTAACTGCAGAGACCAAAGTGTAGCCATGGTTTGCCACTGCTATTAAGTTTTATCTTGCATTTGCCAATTAGTAACTGCAGAGAACTGCTGGCTTGTTATGCAGGACTTCAGGTGGCAATCAACATGGGAGTGCAGGAGATCATTGTGGAGACCGACACCATGCTTGTTAGAGATGCTCTCTAAGGCGACAACTATAGGCTGTCCACAGTTGGGGGTCTAGTCAAGGAGATGAATTTTTTTATTAGCGCAGAGCTTAGATCATGTAATCTTAGTGTGTGCAAATATGACTGTAATAGGGTGGCTCATGCTTTAGCAACTGCCGGGTGTAAGTTTTCCAGTGGCATTAGTAACACTTGGGATGGTATACCTCAGGAGTTTGAGTGTGTGGTAACCAGCGATTTGGCCAGAATTGATGAGTAATAAAATGCCCAGTTCAAAAAAAAAGATTATACTCATACTAGGATGCTCGTTATGGTTGTGACTTGATAAATTATCTCATTATGTGTTCGTAACTTGAGTGGTTATGTGCCTGTAAACTTGAATTATATGTACGAATTTTTATTGGATTGTTCTAGTTTATTATGACGTGGACTAATAAAAAAATAAAAGCTGAAATCTAGACTAATAAGAACGCAACACGTGGAAGAACTAGGTGGTCTATTAAAAAACTGATGAAATACGTCGAAGAATTGGGTTAGCCCACAATATGGGACTAGACTATAATGTTGCTAATTTGTAACTGGGCCAAAAAAAATTTGGGCCAAATGGGCAGATTGTAAATGAAAATAATGAAAAAACCCATGCTATATGGGCCAAATGTTAAATGCCACGTCACCCGCCACGTCCTCTGCCATGTCATATGTGCCATGTCACCATACACGTGGCAATATTCTATTCAATATGTTGTGACGAGTTTTGTCTTCTCACGAATTATTGACAGGAGAACTATTGTCACTGTATTAATGAAAATGTCCTCTGGTGGTCATAGAAGCTCCTTTAAAATGGCTCCGACTCCTCCGAAGAAGCCCCTCAGGAGGAGCCCTGCAAAACACCCCCTTACTCATTGCTACTTGGTTCTCATGTGATGACCACGACGTGATTGTCTAACAGCCTTGACGACAGCTAGGTGCGATGTTCGTGTCACCTATGAATAGGAAGGTCCACATGTATATGTTTCTTTGTAACACTAGGACTGTAACATTATTTTGTGTTATTACAAGGTATATATTTGTAACATATTTTATATGTTCCATTTATGTGTTACAACATAATACACTTTTGTAACATTTTGCTTGTAACATTAATTTTGTGTTACTATAATTATGACCAGTAACACATTTTTATAAAAAAAGTATTTTGTGTTACAACCGAAGTCTGTAACACACTATTTTGTGTTACTATGAAATTTCGCTGGAACACATTGATGAATATGTTACAAGAAAGTGATACAATATCCTTGTTTTGTAGTAGTGTCAAATTCTCTCAACTTTGACTAGCTTTATAAAAAATAAGCAACATTTGTATCCCTAAATAAATTTATTATGAAAATAATATTTAGCGATTCATCTAATGATACTAATAATGCATTATAGATATTAATATTATTTTATATATAATGGGTCAAAGTTAAAAATATTTGACTTATACGGAGGGAGTAGCCATCATCAAGAATTTTTAGATGAACTAAAATGAAAAATTGAAAAAAAATATATTTAAATTATATCAAAATTACTATCCCCATGGTTCGCATTGCACCTGTGGCAATGGTTTTCAGCGTTACCTACGGTTCTGGATTTGATAGTAACCACACTAGCCTGGTTAATAACTTGATTTTTATTGATTTAGCTTTATGTGATAATTTTGTCGTTTACTAAATGTTTTATCGTAATATTTTGTCATTTACTAAAAGTTTTTATCATAATCTTTTATCGCAAGCTAGATGCCAGTAAATGATAGAGAAATTGGACTTAATCAAAGTTATTAGGAAAAATGAATTAAAAGGAAAGTAAAGCATCTTACTTTTTTTTGGATAATAAACCGGATAATTTGACCAGTCAACACCTTTTGAGAGCTCCATCGATTATGCTCACATGCAAGTATTTGGAAAGCACCCTAGTCCCTAAATGACAAACATCAAGTAGTGGCACCTCTGCTATAAATAGCTCAAGCCATCTAGCGACGGCTAGTATCGTGTCTTCCTCAGTGGCGGTGGACAGCACACACGCAGACACAGAGCTTTGCACTCTCTTCACTTCATTGTGAACGCCAAGCGAGCATACAACAATAGATCGAAACCCAATGAGGCATCCACTCTTCACCATCTTATTAGTTGCTCTATCCTTGCTGTCAGTGTCAGCGATGGTAGCCCAAGACCGGCAGGAAGGCGACCGGGTGGGTTTCCTCCCGGGGCAGCCGAGAAGCCCTGCTGTGTCACAGTTCGCCGGGTACGTCACCGTGAATGAGCACAACGGGAGGGCGCTCTTCTACTGGTTCTTTGAGGCTAAGACGTCACCGGCTCAAAAACCTCTCGTGCTCTGGCTCAATGGAGGTTGTTAATAAGAATTGATTAATGTTCAGCTTTCTGTTGGTTCTTTCTTGTGCTTTTGCCTTTATTTGGTGCTGTAGTTCGCGATACACGTCGACCACGGATGTTGTTCAACGAAACGTCCTCAGACCTTAATATATAGCCTTGCTTAGTTATGGCCATTTTTTTCTACTGCAAAAGTTGATTGGTATTCTTAAAGCTTTGTGTTCTTTAATTTCTCTAACATTTTCCATGCAATTCGATATTTTCTTGCACTGTGATCCTCTAACATAACCTTTTTCAATCAATTTTCAGGTCCTGGTTGCTCATCTGTAGGCTATGGAGCAGCTTCTGAGCTCGGGCCTCTCTTGGTCAATAACAACGGAACTGGTTTGGAGTTCAACAAATTTGCATGGAATAAAGGTTTACTTCTCTATCTCCTTGCTCTCTGCTACTTGAATGGTGTCGAGTTCATCTTCTGGTCACATCATAGGGTCATAAGGCTTTATTGAACCTCCGGGTGCGCCACCGCACGCTCCTGTCTATGTTGAACTGTTAATTAGTTGGGTCATCACTCTGACCAAATTGGCTCAACATAGCATCCTTGAACGGGCAGTGGTCAGTGGTGTTGAGTTGTTAGTTTGGTCGATCGATGTACGTGGTAGTTTTGTGGGAAGTGTAGCACATTCACACCCCTCCAGGAAAAAATATTATTGTATTCTCTTTTTAATAAAACTTGTGTTTTCAAAACTTTAAAAATACTTTTGTTTTCTCCAAATAAAAACTTATGGCAAAATTTCACCTTCTGAATAAAAAACGCATATAGTTGATGCCTCACCATGTTTTACATAACTACCCCACCTTGTCTTTTAAATCGCAATTAATTTCAGTTCTTATGTTTCTACATTAGCATGCAACTCAGTTTTATAACACCTGATGACCTGAGCTCCTAGAGAAACAGGGGTGCACCGAACTTGTTTTTACCCACAATTTTTCTTTTGTCCACATTAGCACAGAGTTCGTGATGTTCAGAGTAGTTTAAATTTTTTTCCTGTTACTCATTTTTCGTTTGCTTGGTTGAAATTTCATTCAGAGGCCAATTTGCTGTTCTTGGAATCCCCCGTTGGTGTTGGCTTCTCATACACAAATACTTCTTCTGACCTAGACAACCTCGATGATCGCTTCGTCGGTATTAATCTTCACTTCGTATTATTTAACAAAAAGAAAGCTAATTAAACTCGTGCTGCTCTGTTTGTTGATTAAAACTTTAAAATGATGCAGCCAAGGATAGCTACACCTTCTTAGTGAACTGGTTCAACAGGTTTCCACAGTACAAGAGCCATGATTTCTACATATCAGGAGAGAGCTATGCAGGTAATATAATATAAGGAGGCAGACAGCTCCCTTTCTCCCGGCAAAGAAATTGCAAGATTGAATGAGGCCGAGGCCAAGGCCAAAATGAAAGGATACCGCCTTTCTATAGTGATCAGTAGTGTAAGCGTGCAAAACAGGATCGAATAAATTCTATCTTTCCACTGTCTATTATTCCCTGGTCAAAAAGGTTGTTAGCCTAAACTACATGCAGACCCTATTCCAAACAGTCCCACTACTGTTGTTAGGTGCGGAACCAAGTTGACGGGAATTATTCTGTTCAAAAATACGATTGACTAGTCGGAATATAATCAGCTGAATGCATGCTTCTTTTAATTTTGTTGACAATTAATGCTTCTTTTAATTTGTTGTTACTGAAAAGGTAAAAAACAAATAATGATATTAGGCTGACATGGTAGGAAAAGTAGTGTGTGCAATAAGACAACAAAATATATGGGGAAAAGTATTAGTTTTCAAGTATGGTGGTTATCCTACTGGCCAAGCACAAGAAAATTGAGGGTCTATGCGGTAAGCAACAACCACCAACATATGTGTGAAACATATGTGACATCATTTTTATGATTAAGAAACTGACCAACTTTGATGCAACAGGGCATTATGTTCCACAGCTTGCAGAAGTGGTGTATGAGCACAACAAGCACCTTGAAGCGAATCAGCAAATCCATTTGAAAGGATTTATTGTAAGTGATTAGAAACCACACCTCCATCTCACTCTTTTACTTCAGGTGAAAATATTAAATTTATGGCAGTTATTTTCATTTCAAATCATTGTGCTATGTATCATATTGTATTGCAGAGATTGTAGGTGCAAGTTTTGTTCAAGTGCATTGATTCTTTGTTTTTTTTTACATTGATTACTGCTTTTTTCCTTGCTCCAACGAGTAATAAGGTATGAAAGAGCTGAGAACTAAAATTTACCTACATACACTTGATAGGTCGGCAATGCAGAGACTGATGATTACTACGACTACACGGGAATAGTCGAGTTCGCTTGGAGCCATTCAGTCATCTCAGATCAATTTTACGAGCGAGTAAAAAATGTTTGTGACTTCAAGCTCTCACCCACTTCCACAGAATGTGGTCATGTAATGGGCCTTCTATACCACACGTACAATGAGATTGACATCTACAACGTGTACGCACCCAAGTGCAACACAGATGGATCAGCACTGTCGTCGTCGTCGTCTAGTTCTGACAGCAGCGCGGTAGAAAAGGAAGCCAAGGTAAGTGAGGTGTTCATTAACTCATGCTGATACATTAGCAGGTACAGCAACTAGAGGAAATGTATTGTAGTTAGGAACTGAAGATAAACTGGATGCAAATTTTAGAACAAGTCCAAGAGACGATTGAGGATGTACTCAGGATACGATCCGTGCTACTCCAACTACATTGAAGCTTACTTCAACAGGATGGATGTTCAGAAATCACTTCATGCTAATACCAGTGGACGGATCAAGGACAGAACATGGAGTCTTTGCAGGTGACATAATAATATAAAAGCATTATTATTACTTTCCTTGAGATGCATGCCCTACTAATCAGATAGAATATGCCGTACAATTTGTTTCAGTGATCCAATTTTTGACTTCTACGACATTGAGGTCTTTTCTGTTCTTCCTATCTACTCCAAGCTTATTAAGGCTGGACTAAGAATTTGGGTCTACAGGTAATATATGCAGTTCACCTGCTTGCTTTATGCATGGAACAACATAACTTGGATAGATTATTCCCTCTATCCGGCCCAAAGTATAAGAATTTCTGAAAAGATTAGGATAGATTAGGCAACAAGGGAATACTAATATAACCGGCAGTGGACAAGCAGGGCATCATTGCCTATTCCAAACCGGTAGTGATAATGGGTTCAAGCACATATAGGCACTAATAGTTACAAAAAGAAAGTGTGTTTCTCATAATTCAGACCAATGACATACAGCCTCATCCATAGCCTTCTTTATTATCTCAACTACGCAACAACTTGTGACTATATAACCGACGCTATTATCTTAACTACACATTTATGGATCTTGTATTGTATATATTTGACACTTTAAATAATTTCAAATAAAAAAACAACTACAAAGTTGTAGATCTCGTCGGCTATTATAATTTGGATGTTGATTTTGTCTCCATTCAAAATTATTTAATATCATTAAATATTTGGGATACCACAGTACCCACAGGAACCTACAAGTATATGTATGTTTTGTAGCAGTGCTTATTAAACATCCGGGACCACTCTTATTTGGCTTAATTGTGGCCCAATGATGGGGCTAATCTTGTTTGCGACTAATTGTCTTAACTAGTCTATCAATTTCTACTACTACTTAGGCTAAAATCTTTGTAGTTTCTTCATCATATCTATAGTTTCTCTTCTTATGCATGATCTCTATGTTTTAATTTAAATATTTTTTCATTGAAACTTTAGATTAAATTATGGTGGCTCTTCTTTGCATGCTTTGCCTTTGTCATAACATAGATCTAGATTTGAATTTTAATTTTTTTATTTATGAGTTTCTACAAAATATTTATCTGTATATGTATATTTTAATAAAAACTCATTTTGTACTTTATTAAGAATAAGGATCATAGCTTATAGACTGCACCCTTAATTACCACAATGGCATAAAACGTCATTAAAGCCTACACAATGGCGCTCAAGATTGTAGAACAATGCTAACCTCAAAAGAATATTTGATATTTAAGTCTAAAAATGATTGTGTAATCCAAATTGAATCTGAAAAACCAGGGCACCTTTTGGTTTGAACTAACCTCCTCCGTTACTCAAGATATTTATTAATTTCCTCTATCAAAGAATTATATATGTAATATTGTTTTTTAACAAAAATAGAGTTCTTACAAATATACTATTAATATAGATAAATAATGATTTTTTGTAAAAAAAATATATTTATCTAAAGTAATAACTTACAAAGTTTATTATTATTATGGAATATATTTCAAATGAAATGCTAGTGCCATTAGTATATAAGTCATTATTGCTAAAACATAAGTATATGTATTTGTTGCTCATGTCTGCATGTATGACTATTTAAAACCTTTTTTCCATAATATCATATAAAAATATGTTGCTAATTTAGATTAGATTTGAGATAATCTTTAGTTTACTTACTAATTGTGATATGGGCAATTTAGTTACAAGTTTAGGGGTTACTTTAGAATATGCTTTATAATATGAGAGTTGGGTACTTTGGACACTGATTTAGGGATTCCATTTTGTTTTATTCATAATGGTAAATAATGTCGGTAAATCTTTAGAAAATAAAATAGATCTCTATTATTGTCCATGGTGATTAGAGTCTACAGTTGATGGCCAAGTCTCTCTGATTTTTATGAGAACTTCTACAATTTATCCTTTTTCAATGCATCGTGAGAATTAACACGGGAATGCGCTGTTAGAGACCTCCAGTTAGTAATATTGAGATTGAGATTGCTAGCCGATAACACTCTTGGTCGGGATAAAATTAACTTGTAGCATGTCGCGAGGATTAGCTTATGTAGGGTTGGGTTCTCAAATGTCTTTATATTTGGGATAAAATTTAAACGCTAGAAGTCCTTGTATTTTGGATGCATGGATGAAGTCCTAACTGCTAGACATGCACTTGGGGCCTGTTTTTGTGCATGTTTGGATATTGATCAAATTAAATTCATTATAGTTACTCTTTTACAGCGGAGATGTGGATGGCAGGGTTCCGGTTATTGGATCCCGCTACTGGGTAGACGCACTTGGGCTTCCTATCAAGTCACAGTGGCAACCATGGTATCTAAAAAATCAGGTCGGCCACCCTACTACAAGCCCAAAGCTTTCCATATTTATTCATTTAATATTTTTCATGTAAGCTGAAAACTGCATTTTGGAGTTCATGCATTGGTCATTGATATTGAAAGGATGCTAAAGAAACTCATTACAGGTTGCTGGAAGGTATGTTGAGTATGAAGGGCTGACCATGGCCACTGTCAGAGGAGCAGGTCATACAGTTCCTCAAGATAAGCCAGCAGAGGCACTTGTGCTAATCGAATCCTTCCTTTCCGACACACAACTTCCGGCAAAAAATAACTGAGGGCTGCTACCAGAATGATATATGCTGAATAAGTAAGAAGAGATAACCGGTATTGAGATTGATGTAACCAGTATCCAGTTGAGTATGGCTCTATTTGTAACCAACCCAATTCATGCAGCAACTGGAAATGAAATGCTTACTAATTTGCCCGTGTGTGAAGCACATAAGTTGTCCAATCCTTGAGATTTTGTTTTTGAAATAAAAAAAACCCTCATCACAACCCTAAACACTCTTGTCATCTGTGTGTGGGAAGCTGTTTGCCCTGAAGGAATGTGTCGATAAGTGCGAGACCTTCTGAAGGTTTGTTGAGGGGCACCAAATGACCAGCTCCTCTGATTGTCACCATTGTCATGCCATGGTACTCCACAAATCTTCCCGCGACCTACAATATTGTACATGTCCTCCACATTAGTGGTACCATAATACAAAACTGACAACCGTATCAAAGGTAACAGTTGGAAAATAGTCAGAACTCCTGACCTGTTTGTTCAGGTACCAAGGTTGCCACTGTGTCTTAACAGGCAGGCCCAGGGCTTCCACACAATACCGCGATCCGATCACTGGGACCCTACCATCTGCATCCCCACTGCATGGAGGATAGACTCAATTATCATTGAGTCGCCAACACTGATAAAATCTACTCTAAAGGCTTAAGCTACCGGAGATCACAAGTACAGTATTATGTTTCAGAAAGGTTCAGCAAGTGTTTTCCAAGAGTAAAATATCTGTACATGGATAAGTAAGAACAGGGTATATTCTGTAACAATAGGAGGACTGAGAAATGATTAAGAGGAATCATATTCATACCTGTAGAGCCAGACCCTCAATCCTGCTTTGATAAGCTTAGAGTAGATTGGTAAGATGGAAAGTACCGAAAAATTGTATGACCTTAAAATTGAATCACTGCATGGTACATGAAAATAAAAGTAAGTCAAATTCACATTCATGTCTAACTCTGCCTAATTTTTCCTAATAAATTATAAAGTTTAACCATGCCAATGTTTCCCTAATTACTACTTTGTTCAGTTTTGAATGAAATATAAGCACTATGTAAAGACATTCGTCACAACAAATTGAGGGTGATTCACCTGCAAACTTGCCATTTTCGAGTTCCACTGACATTTGCATGGAATGCTCTCTGCACATCTGCGTTATTGAAGTACTTTTCAGCATACGAAGAATAGCATGGGTCATATCCCGAGAACATCCTAATCCTTCTCCTGAAATGTTCCTACCATGTAAGAAAAAGCGTCAGGAGTTCAGAACAGAGCATATACTTTGAGCTAACTGTTGCTCACCTGATCGTTAGCTACGAATTCTTGATCAACAGCAAGTGCAGCTGATGACGGAGGAAGATTGCATCTGGGTGCGTAGATGTTGTAAATGTCAATCTCTTGGTACTGGCTGAACACAGTGTTCATGGCTTTATCACAATCATCGGTCCAGTTTGAGATCCTGAAATCACAGACCTTCTTGATGCGATCGTAAACTTCATCTGACACTACTGAGTGGCTCCAAGCATATTCAGCCAGCCCCTTCGAGTCGTAGTAATCGTCAGTTAGTGGATTACCGACCTACAATGGGACAATCCAAATGTTACAACATGTAACGCTTTGAAATTATTTTGTAAGCATCACAGAACATTTTTCCTACTAGAACTTTACATTTCTATGAACTGTTTCATGAAAGTGGAGCACAATTATAGTTACAGTCTTACAGAGAAGTGGCAGTGCCCTTTTTTTTGGTAATTTTTACAGATACAAGTACATTTTCAAGAAATAGATAATGTTTCTCACATGTAAAGCATAAATAAAATTGCTATTCACTTCTTAGCTACCTTGTCACTATCAGCTAATTGTCAAATAGAAGGAGAAGGCTAGATTCGGTAGTCAAAGGATCCTTTATTTAGATTCTCACCATGAAACCTTTAAGGTTGATGTATGTGTTGGTCTTGCCTTTGTTCCTGTCATAGACAAGTTCAGCAAGTTGTGGCACATAGTGACCTGCATTCATTCAAAATTCTTTTTGAGTGATGCGCAGAGGAAAAGGAATTGTTTTGCTCCACGAATTTGTGCGCTATCAAAGATACCATGGCCAGTGGACATTCCCGTAATGCCATACAACCTATAAAGGCCTAATGACGTGGTATGGAGAAACCTTAAATTCCTGTGTCTTTATAGAAAGAAGGCATGGAATCTGAATCCTGCGGTAATGAAGTTTTTACTTTTGGAAAATGAGATGTCACACTAAAGTAGAATGCTAAATGTACACAGTGCACTTTTACCCACCATTAACATTTTGTAAACTGGAAGAGATTCTGTAGGAAGAGATTCATATGCTTGAACATAAAACTAATTTTACGCCTTCCTTTCCTGGACCTTATCAGTAGTGATCAAAATTTGGACTTGTAAAAGACACGTATAGCCGAACTTTCAGCGTCAGAACAGTTTCCAGATTTTAATCAGTAGGAATACTGGAATGTAGAATTTCAAGGGTTGCCACGTTTTAACTTAACACTAGAGACCATGGTTCCGAGGGCAACTATGTTTTCTTACGTAAAAAATAATACACCACATTGTTCTTTGTTGACAATCACAAAACAACTATTAGTATTTGGTATGGTAAGCCCATGTCAAGAATTACCTTTTTTTTATAAAGGAATGCCATGAATTACCTGCATAGCTCTCCCCGGAGATATAAAATTCGCGGCCCTTGTACTGCGGAAACCTCTTGAGCCAATTTACTAGGAAGCTGTATGCATCTTCAGCTACAAAAAAAAAAAAAAAATGACACCACACGCACACATCTTAAACATTTTGAAAACAATGACGAAGCAAAGACAAACTCCCTAAAGAATACTGGAAGTACCTACGAAAGCATCATCCAGTTTGGTGAGGTCAGAGGATGTGTTGGTGTAGGAGAAGCCAACCCCAACAGGAGACTCCAGGAAGAGCAAGTTGGCCTCTGGCAAGAGCAATAAAAGGTACTTATCAGTTTTGCTTGGTTATATTGCAGTGATCTTTAGCCATCTAAAAATGAAAAAGTTGGTGCAGGCACCTCTGTTCCACGCAAATTTGTTAAACTCAAGCCCTGCCCCGTGTCTGGTCACTCTGAGAGGCCCCAACTCAGAAGCAGCTCCGTACCCAACTGATGAGCAACCAGGTCCTGCATGTTATGCAGAAATATAGTTTGTACATTAACTTTTCCTGAAGAATGCAGAGAACTGCAAGCACAATAAGATAATTTTCACAAAACATTCGTAGGACAGGCCAAGGTCCAGAGCACTGCTAGTATTCCTGATCAATGACCCCTGCACGTTGCAGGTTACTACCATTGCAGAGCATGAGCTAACTACTTACAGTGAACTAGACACAAGGAATACATCGATTGGTCTGTCATTCATTGTGCATGCTCTGAATTCCTGCCTCGTGGAAAATTTAACATCCAAACTAAAAAAGTAAAGAAAGAAAATAAAAAAACTAGCTGAAGCAAGAACCTCCATTGAGCCAGAGCAGGAGAGGCTTGTGCGCCGGCGACGTCTGAGCCTCGAAGAACCAGTAGAAGAGCGCCCTCCCGTTGTGTTCATTCACGGTGACGTACCCGGCGAACTGCGACACCGGAGGGCTCCTCGGCTGCCCGGGGAGGAACGCCACCTGGTCCCCCTCCTGCTCGCTGTAACTGTAACCCACCGTCGCCGCGTAGCAGCACCAGCACGAGCTCTGGAAGAGGACGAGGAGGAGAACAGAAAAGCTGAGCTGCTGGCGCTTGGACGAGGACGTCCGGGCAAGAAGACGCTCTGCCATTGTCGCCATCCGAGTATGCGAGACCGTGGTCTGTGCTCAGCAGCAGTCGATACAGGGCCAAGAAGAGAAGGCGAGCGAGACGATGGCAGATCGAGAGGCACGTGCACCGCGACTGTGCAAGGGATCAGAGAACGGGCAGGCAGGCTTCGGGTTCTCGGCGTCTAGCAAGCAGCCAAGCAGGGGCTCACAGCTAAGCGGCTCGAAGCGTGTGACAGTGATATCATGTGAAGCGGATGGCGCCTGCCGTTGGAGGTGGGGATCGGCATCGGAAGGATCACGGCACGGGTTGGCGGATTGCTGGGTGGTGGTGGCGCATGTGAACGCCGGCCGGATAACGATTTTTGTTTGCTGCCGCTGCACTCTAGCCGAGGGCATCTTCTGCTGACGGCTGCCTGCATCTGCGTGACCTTATTATCCGAGTAGGTGTAAAAGTATCCTTGAAATGGTCGCAAAGGATCAAGATTTGGTTTCTTCATTTGATTGGGGGCGGCGTTCTTGGCTTGGCTTGGCAGCTAGCCGGCTCGACGACGACGACTTTGGTAGGCACTACAGAAACTGAAGTACTGAACGTGCCAGAAAGAAATCTGCAGCGGCGCCACATGGCCCATGGACGTCTTCCTTTGGGCCTGGTCATGGGCTACGGCCTATAATTCGATTTTGTTTCCATTGGGCCTCACCTGGAGCTAATGCACCAATATTCTCATAGTGTTGCTTTGTATGAGGCCAAGTATATGGCAATGATTCTATTAATTAACTTGTGCCAAAACCTTTCTCAAAAAAAAACTTGTGCCAAAATCCTTTGCTCCAAAGGTAAAGGATTTTTGGAACTCCTAAGAAAAATGAGAATTATACAAACTTTTGGATTCTAGAATGAGTATCTACCTCAAATCTACGATTTGGAGTTTTCCAGTATGCACTATAAAAATGAGATCCAAACACCCTTTATTTTTTATCTAGAATTTGGATTCTACATTCACTATCTACAATATAGAATCTCAATATGAAAATGAGATCCAAACAGGCCCTAACACGAGGCTATTAATTCTTAGAATCTGTTTGGTTGTTGATCCTAAAATCCCCGTCAAAATTTAGCCATATTATAGTTGGAGCAATATTGAAATATGGACAATAAAATGTGTTTCGTTTATGGCCTAGCCTAAGTTTGGCTATAAAGTGAAGAAGAAAAATGTATGTTTG